TGTCTCCTCATTTCGTTTATACTGAATTCATTAATACTGCTCTCTGTAAAACTGTGGATATCCTACATATTTTAGTTACCTAATTTCATATTTCTGCTTTTACGAAGTTATTACTTGGTTATTTTTTGATACACGTAAATAATTAGGAATTGTTCGGGGCATGGTGATGTCTTAATGTCGCACTAACTCAGCGATCGACAGACGAAAGCTAACCTGTTGTCAGAAGAGGCAAGTAGCGAAGGCAAGACTTTAAGTGAATCTAGAGAAGACAGAGGTGACGAAGATACCCAACCCAGAACAACAAACTCCATTTAATATCAAGGTGATGGAAGTCACCACTTTCACTTATCTAGGCAGTATCGTTTCGATTACAGGCGGCACGAGTGAGGATTTCAATGCCTTTCAAGGTCGGAGATGCAAGACATACCTTCAGTAATCAGTGTCAAATCAGTCTAGAAATTTACTGCAATAAGCATAAAGGATAGGAATGGGACTTTCAAGTCAGTCAGTGTTTCTTTGGGATACAGAGATCCGGCGACCAAGTCATCAAAAGTATTTCTAACTGGCCACTGAAGACTTCTATCAACAGCTGCCTCTGGGAGCTCGATACTGAAGATCAGATTGCCGACCAGAAAGGATTAGCAACAAGAAACTCTGTAGTGCAATGTAGCAACTAAGAATCTATCGCTCAACAAATATGCCGAAAAAAAAGTGTTGATGGATTGGACATACGTTGAGAAAACCGCTGAATGATATCACCTCTCAGGCTGTCCAGTGGAACTCGAATGGGCAGTGACCAGCCCGCCGTCTGAGAGTGACGTGGAGGAGATGACAAGTTGTGGGCAATGGTGGAGCCAGTCAAAGACAACTGAGGAGAAGAGAATGAAGTGGAGATGAGTTAATTGAAGCTCTGTTTCATTCAGAACTTAATAGAATAATAACAGTCATAGTGATACTCTAGATAGGTTATATATATATATATATATATATATATATATATATATGAGTATTATCCATATACTGAAGTATAAACTCAGTTAAATTATAATTATATTTCAACAGTTTACACACAATGATAAGTTTTTGTTTCTTGATAATATTTCGAGCAAAATTACCGCCCGTGATAACACCAACTGTTGGAATTGTTTCATTTTTAAGTCACACATTTATGATTAGTACTTATGTATATATAGTTTTTTTTCTTTTTTGTTCATTCATTTTTGTGTATTCAGAATTATATTCCAGAGTGTTGACAGTTCTGAGTCATCCTTGTTACATGAATCTGGTGTGACCTTAATGAATATAGATTCTGTTATAAGTCCCTCTTACCATTTGTTCTTATTAGTTTTCAGAATACAAATAGTGTTCTGATCAATGTTACGGTTTTTGTCCCATGCATCTGCAGCTGTAGACGAACTTCTTTCTAAATTGTTGTGTTCCTTTTGGTTGACTTTTAGTTAGGCGTTTATGTTCATTCACTCTTATTTTGAGTGATCTGGACGTTTGACCCACATATTTAGTCGAACACTCAGCACAAGATGTTTTGTAAATTACATTATTTTTAAAAATCAATCTGAACGAAGAATATTCTTTTCAATAATTTCTTACAATTATAAAATATAATGTTTGTTGTCGTTACAATAATAACCAGTTATGCGGTGGATACAGTTTGTTACGTATAATAGCAGAAAGACAACAGGCAGTGAGGAAACGGGCATAAAATAGACCCAAACAAAAATCTTGAAGGATCTGGACTTCGCCAATGGTATATGTCTGATTTCCCACAAACTGGAAGATATGCAAGCGAAAAGCAACAAGTTGGCAGAAGTATCATCAAAGATAGGACTTCAGGTGAACATAGAGGAGACAGAGGTGATGAAGATTTCTGCCGAACAGCAACAACAATCAGCATAAATCGAAGGAATCTGAAAGAAGCAACCTCCTTCACCACCTGCCTTGGGAAGCATCGTTTCAACTACAGGTGTACGGAACTGATGAGGATACCAAAGCGAAGATCGCGAAATCAAGGCAGGCTTTCATTTCTCTCAAGTCTGTGTGGAGGAGATCAACAGCACTCACCATGAAAAATAAGATGCGGATCTTCAACTCTAATATGAAGTCAGTGCTGCTCTACGGATCAGAGAATTGGCGCGTCACGAAGGCCACTGCGAACAAACTACAGACTTTCATCAACAGCCGTCTTTGCTCAATACTTCGCTCAAGATCAGGTGGCCTGAAAAGATCAGCAACAGGGAGGGGTCTCTAGTAGTGAACCCAGCAGGAACCGATTGTGCAACAAATAAGCAGGAAGAAATGCAGGTGGATTGGCCATACTCTGAGAAAACCACCAAGTGACATCACACGACAGGCCATCACGCAAGTGGAACCCGAATGGGAAGCGTTGAGTTGGTCGTCAGTGCGAGGGTGACATGGAAAAGGTCATGTAGAGAGGAGATGAAAGCATGTGAGCAGACATGCAGCCAGGTAAAAACGTTGGCAGAGAACCGGATTTAATGGTGACGTGTGGCTGAAGTCCTATGTTCCTCTAAGAATTAAAGGAAACAATAACAATAATATTCATTAAGGTCACACCGGATACATGTAACAAGGATGACTCAGCACAACTGTCAACGACCTGGAATATAATTCTGAATACACAAAAATGAATGAACAAAAAAGGAAAATGGACTATATATATGAGTACAAATCATAAAACACTGGGGGGCTGAGCTCATCAGTAGTATAACCGGTTTAACTCAGCTTCGAGCACTGGTTATTATTATTACTTTCATTAGGAGTTTGGTGTAGTCATCTACTGAATGATATAGAAAATGGTACGTAGAGAATCTCAGAAATGTCTTCTGGTTCAGTAAGTAGCAGGACACTCGCCAACCTGGCACTTCATTCGGAGTTCTGTTCCCGAGCGCCGACGCACTCTTCAACATCACCACTAGCTGGTAGTGAGACCGGTCGGTACAGAGGGATGGTTAGGTCGTGAGTCTAGCGGCTCCACCACTGCTACTGAAGCTTCAGAACTCAAGCATGAAGCCGTATGATCCTCTCAGAACACAAAGGAATAAAATAAATAAAGCAGTGTTCTTCAAATTAATCCATACCATTATGCTGCCTACACATTACTCATTCCATGAGTTTCTTTCTTCATTTCTTTTTTATCAGGTTATACACCTGTTGACTGTATAAAAAGCGCTTTACAAGATACATCATCCCATTTATTAATTCGAGCAATTCAGCTGGCGTGTAAACTTACCATTTTGAAAGGTGATAGTGGTCAAATAGAGAATAGTAGTGATACAGATTGCTGTACAGACTATGAGACATCATTCAACTTTGAACCGAAACAGCTGATTCAATTACTTCTACATCATTTTAATCTATCAGGGAAGAAGAAAGAAGAAGAGAAAGGGAGTATGGGAATGCTTTGGTATCTACATGATAAGGATATTCCAATTAGTGATTTAAAGGTGAGTGTAAATCATTTAAGTGTATATATAACGATATATATTTTTTTCTATAGTTGGTTTGTAAGGATTAGATTTGTTTATACCAGTTTGACCACGGATTGATATCAGTTAGAGAACCATTGAACAGCTGTTTCATCCTAGTTTGGGAGTCATCATCAGTACGCACCCACTGGGGTTCGAACCCAGGGCCTTTTGGTTACAAGGCAAGATCGTATACCATTCAGCCACTGGGACCCGTTTCAATGGCTAGCCCATGAATTCTAACTTCCACCAATTTGTGATTTTTAGCGCGACCCCAACCAATGTCGTCGGTGGGACGACATTAGGTTCGATCCCCAGTGGGTGCGTACTGCCGATGATTCCCAAACTAAGATGAAACAGCTGTCCAGTACTCCCTGGTTTTCAATGGTTCTCTAACTGATATCAATCAGTGATCAACTCATATATATATTATTATTGTATATATATATATATATACAATATGGATCCTCTAGATATCTGTAAACTGAAGTTACGAAAAAAGTTCTCTTTGCTAACTTAGGTTCTCTTAATTACTTTATAGATTAGTAGTATCTGTTCCTGATTGCAGTAGATTGGATAATGCGACAAACAGCGGGCAATGAGGAAACAGGCATAAAATGGACTCACACAAAAAACTTGGAGGATCTGGACTTCGCCGATGATATATGTCTGATTTCCCACAAACTGGAAGATATGCAAGCGAAAAGCAACAAGTTGGCAGAAGAAGCATCCAGAGAAGATAGGACTTCAGGTGAACATAGAGAAAACAGAGGTGATGAAGATTCCTGGGCAACACTACCAACAGCAACAACAACAACAGACAACAATCAGCATAAATGGAAGGAACCTGAAAGAAACAACCTCCTTTACCTACCTGGGAAGCATCGTTTCAACTACAGGAAGATGGAACTGACGAGGATATCAAAGCAAGAATCGGAAAAGCAAGACAAGCTTTCACTACTCTCAAGTCTGTGTGGAGGTCAACAGCACTCAGCATGAAAACGAAGATAAGATCCGGATTTTCAACTCCAATGTGAAGTCAGTCAGTGCTACTCACGATACGGATCAGAGACTTGCACTGCGCGTCATAAAGAGCATCTCAAACAAACTACAGACCTTCATTAACAGTTGTCTTCGCTCAATATCACTCAAGATCAGATGGCCGGCCAGAAAAGATCAGCAACAGAGATCTCTGGCAATGAGCGAACCAACTCAGCAGGAACCGATTGTGAAACAAATAGGCAGGAAGAAATGGAGATGGATTGGCTGGCCATACTCTGAGGAAACAAACCATCAAGTGACATCACTAGACAAGCCATTGCTCGAGTGGAACCCGAAAGGGAAGCGGCGAGTTGGTCGTCAGTGCGAGGGTGACTTGGAGGAGGTCATGTGAAGAGGAGATGAAAGCGTGTGGGCAGACTTGGAGCCAGGTGAAAACGTTAGCAGAGAACCGAACGCAATGGAGACGCACGGCTGAAGCCCTATGTTCCTCTAGGAATTAAAGGAGAACAATAATAATCTGTTCGGCCTGCTTAAATCACTGAACTAATTAGTTTACCACAGAGTATAATAACTTACTCAATTTTACTTTGTTTTAACCATCTATTTACGTCTTTGAAGAAAAATCTGTACTCTTGTGCATCTTTTGAGTGACTTTCAGCAGACTGAAAGTAAACGGTTGGGTTGCTAAGTTATTCAAAAGACATAGGATTATGAATGTACTAGGATTTAGTTACATTTATTCTAGTGTACTTGAATAGTCTAGCAACATGTCGGTTAATTTCAGTTCTTGCAACATATCGCGTTGTCTGTTTCGAAGGGACAGGTACGTCGGGAGGTGTTGGGCCTTTTTTCACACAGAACGAAATCCCGTTAATGATAACTGTAGATTACTGATTTACATCAGGGTTCTGTATACGGAGTAGGGAGGTAAAAAGATGCTGAAAGTGCTGTAATGTAAATAAATATGTTGTTCAGATCAAAGCTCAATGATCGGAGCTTTTAAAAGTCAAAGAATTTATTGCATTGAGCGTCATATTGCCTCGGTGTCTACGCAGTCTGAGTTCATTGTGTATTCCTTTGCGTTCCGAGTGAAACATATGGCTTCCAGCTTAAGTATTGTAATTTCAGTAGCGGCAGTGTATTTTTGCTTTAAGGCGGTGAAGTTGTTAGCTACACACCCAACCTTCCCTCTTTCCCGGGCTTACTACGAGCTAAGCGATGGTTAGATGTGCATCAGCGGGGAATTGAACCCTAGACCACTCACGTGGTCGGCGAACGTTCTAACCAACTCCTCACATAACACAGTATGATTGTAGAAGATTTAATTCATATCTACATATAAATTAGTGGATAGGTTCTTATTAATTTTTGTAGATTATGATTTGACTACTACCAGGCACCAATCTCCGTGGTACAACTGAAGTTTATGAATACTAACTAACTACACTTTTTGTTATATAAAAACCCTAAGTTTGTTTTGATCTGTCTGTGTTTGTGGACATATTTCTGAAGTAAAAAACTGAATATGGTTTTTCTGGTAACAATATTATTATTATTCTTACACTTTATGTTTCAGTGTACATATAGCTTACTTGTGGAATTCTTCAGTACATTTCCCTCGTATGCATCACAATTACATAAGATGAACTTCATTGAAGGTATACAACTTGGTAAGTTATTTGTGCAATCGAAAAAATTTTCAAAATCATTTATGGTGTTGACAGTTCACCCATTTAGTTGATCAGAAATCGGATGATTTGAACTGATTCGGCTCTCTCTGTCTCTCTCTCTCTGAGCTGAGTAAAACTGGTTACACCGTTGATGAGCTCGACCTCAAACGAGCGAAACAGCCGTCGGGTGTTTAAATCACTTTGGTCTAACTAGCAGATTATTATTATTGTTGCCTTTAATTCCTAGAGGAACATAGGGCTTCAGCCGCACGTCTCCATTGAGTTCGGTTCTCTGCTCGTGGCTCCACGTCTGCCCACACGCTTTCATCTCCTCTTCACATGACCTCCTCCAAGTCACCCTTGCACTGACGACCAACTCGCCGCTTCCCTTTCGGGTTCCACTCGAGCAATGGCTTGTCTAGTGATGTCACTTGATTGTTTCCTCAGAGTATGGCCAGCCAATCCATCTCCATTTCTTCCTGCATATTTGTTGCACAATCGGTTCCTGCTGAGTTGGTTCGCTCCCAGAGATCTCTGTTGCTGATCTTTTCTGGCCATCTGATCTTGAGTAGTATTGAGCGAAGACAACTGTTAATGAAGGTATGTAGTTTGTTCGAAGTGCTTTTCATGACACACCAAGTGTCTGATCCGTATAGTAAGTAGCACTGACTTCACATTGGAGTTGAAAATCCGGATCTTATTTTTGATGCTGAGTGCTGTTGATCTCCTCCACACAGACTTGAGAGAATAATAATAATAATAATAATAATAATAATATGCTTTATTCCAAAACAGTACTTGTGATACAGAATGGAATTCTCAGCATTTTTACTACAGTATTGCATCCAGTTAGTACATTGTCAATAAATAGAATTCTACATAGATTGAGGAAACCACAGTTCATTATTACAACAGTACATTGGTATGTTCAGTAGCAAAGGTAAAGCTGAAACAGTGTTTGAAGGTGTTAGAAAAGTGGGAGCTGTCTTATTAACTGGCGTAAGCGAAAGAAAGAGACAAAGCAGCACATAACGGAAAAAGAAGAGAGAGAAGAGGAACAGAAAGAAAGGAAATGTTGAACCTATTGATGAAGTGGGTTGGAAAGATGAGATCCAGTTATACTAATGACTATTTAATGAATTATAGGTATCACGCCTAATGCTTTCTTTATCACACAGAACGCGAGCTAAGTAGGGTATGGTTGAGTTTTTGTACTTGCTGGTACGAGCATATAGTTTTCTATATTGGCTTCTGGTTTTACCTGAAGAGATGCAAGGGGAGAGTTGTGAGTGAAGAGGGTGGTGTGAGTTAGATAAAATGGATTTGGCCCATTTTTCACATGAGTCCATGTGCCTGTCAACCAAAATATTAACAAGCTGGTTGAGTGGCACGTTGCTTACCCTGCTGACAACATTTAACATCCTACGTAATATGTTATAGTCTTTCTTCAGTAGCCCAGGAAAAACTAAGGGGGAACAATAGAGAATAATAGGCAGGATGCGAGAATTAACGAATTGTAGGAGTAGGGGTTGGGTAATACCAGAATGTTTTAACTTCTTAATGTAGAAGGCAAGACGGAATATTTTCCTAGAAATTGCTAAGATATGAGACGACCAGGACAGATCAGCAGATAGAATGACACCTAGGTATTTAATTTCCGATTTAGTTTCTATTTCAGTGCCATCTATTTTGCATACCTCGTGAGAGCCAAACAGTTTGTTTAGGTCGGATTTATGCCTAAAGGTGAAATTGACTGTTTGGCATTTGGAAGGGTTTAGAGTAAGACCATTTTCCTTGGACCACTGGTTGATTTCTGACAGAAAGCCATTAAGTTTAGAGCAGTCGCTTTGACATTTGATAGGCAAAGATACAGACAGATCATCAGCGTATTTGACAAAATTAATGTCATTTGAAGATGGTAAGTCGTGTAGAAAGAAGGAAAAGAGAAGTGGGGAGAGTACAGCGCCTTGGGGGACTCCGGCTTCAGTGAGTGCAGCAGAGGATGATTTACCTTTGTATACGGTGTACTGCTTTCTGTTAGAGAAGTAGGAATGCAACCAGTTAGTGACCCAGGACTCAGTTTTCGTCAAAGAGAGCTTATTTAGAAGGAGACATCTGGGAACAGAGTCGAAAGCAGAAGTGAAATCAAGAAACGTGCAGCGGACGTATTTAGCACCTTTATCTAATGATGAGACGATGTTGTTGTGTAAGACAGCTGCAGCGTCTAATGTACTCCTACCCTGTCTATAGGCAAATTGTTTTGGGTCTTCGAAGTTTTTAAGGGAGGGTTCGAGTTTAAGAAGTATTAGTTTTTCCATAACCTTTAGGAACGGGGAAGTGATGGCAATGGGTCTGAACTTTACGTTCTTGCCATTTCCAGGTTTAGGGACAGGGACAATTTTGATGTCTTTCCATGCATCAGGTACGATATTTTTGGAGAAAGAGGCATTTAGGATGTTGGTTAGTGGAGAACACAACACATCTGCACATTGTTTTAGAACATAGGCAGGTATACCATCAGGACCTAGGCTACGTGAGGGCTTGAGTGTTTTAAGACATTTTAGAACATCAAGAGTATTAAAGTCATGAAAGTTTTCAGCAACATGATAGGTAACATTAGAGGTAGTTAAAGTAGAAGGACAGCGTATAAAAGACTGATTAAGAGCATTAACATCATAAGAGGGAAAAGTATTACAACGCTTACTACTACCAGTAATTTCATTAAAAAGTTTCCACATACTGATTGGAGATTTACATGATAAAAGTGTATCATTATATATAGCATTAAGATTTTTGATTTCAGATTTGATCTGAGCATTAATCTTTTTGAGTCCTAACTTGTCTTTGGATTTGTACAAAGTTTCTTTTTTCCTGCGAAGTTGTTTGAGATAAGGAGATGAGAAGCGGTCAAGACGTTTGAATAGAGTTTGTTTGGGACAACATATATCAAGGCAAAACTTGAGATAATCCGTTATATTGACGATTGTGTCATCTAATGAACTTTCATGGAATAAGTCCCAGTTAGTATTTTGTAACATGCACCTTAGATTGAGTAAGTTTTCGGATGAGTAGCATCTTTGTTGTGCTTTCATAGACAGATGCGAGAAGACTTTAATGTGTGTTTTGCTGTAAATTTTTGGTAGAACACGAACAATAGAGTGATCAGAGTTGAGGATCGGTGCACGTTTACGTGCTTCATAGATTCTTTCATCATTTGTAAAAACTAAATCCAGTGTTTTGTCTAGTCGAGTGGGAAATTTGACAATGTTAGAGTGACCAAGTGCTTCAAGGAAGGAGCAATCTGACGAGTTAAAGTCCCCAGTAATAACAGACAGAGAGTTGTCGAAGTTGGCAGCGGCGAACATGGTGAATTCATCGGCAAAATTTGAAAGATTAGATAGAGAGCAACTTGGAGAAATGTACATGTTTGTGATAAAGATGTGTTTATATTTGGGGAGATGTTTGGGACGACATTTGACGGTGATGCAGTCTATGAAGTCATTTGAGAAAGAGAAGCAAACATTATTAGAAATAGACCATTTTGAGTTAATAAAAGTTGCAACTCCACCCCCACTTTTCTTATTACAACATATTCGGTCTTGTCTAAATAGGATGAAGTCCTTTAGAGAGATGAGATTGTCATCGTACAGTTCGTGTAACCATGTTTCTTGTAATGTGATTATCGCAGTATTGTGATAAGTGTCAGTGGACATCAAGGATTGTAGGTACATAATTTTGTTAGGCAGAGAGCGGCAGTTGGTGTTCATTATGACAGGGACCGTGGTTAAGTGTATTGGTGTACGTTTAAGAGCTCTTTGCCAGCCACTACGATGCTTCCTCCTTGGTTTCTTGGGAATATGCAAGTCATTGGGTCGTAAATGAATGATAAAGTTGCGAGAGTAAATAATCCTTTTGGAATTCATATTTGGGTGATAAATAAATGGAGTAAATGGTAGGTTGGATGCAATATGTAGATTTTATGATAGCAGGCCCAAAAATTCAAACAGGCCGCCAAGGTCACTTTCAGCTTCAGAAATGAAAGCTTGTCTAGCTTTCCCGATCCTTGCTTTGATATCCTCATCAGTTCCGAACTAGCAGATACTAGTAGATATTTTTCCCTTGGGTTCCGAGTAGAATATAGGGCTTCAAGCCCTGAAGTTTCAGTAGCGGCTGTGTTGTTTTATTTTTTACGCAGTGGGGTTGATTGTCTCACATTCAGTGACAGAATGATCAACAAGTTTTTCTCGTAATCTGAAGCGCCTCAGTTTCCATCGCCGGTGTGGTCATTGGTGCATACTTCCTGATGAAGAGTCCCGCATTGGGACGAAACAGCTGTTCAGTACTGCAACATTGTAGTTAAGAGAAAATATTATCAATTTAACCGTATTTGCCTTGTGAATATTTGTATGCAATACTACTTATTTCTAGGTTTGCTTTGCTATTTATGTATGGTTTATTTTTCTTTTCAGATGGAGCAACACGTACCGGTTTATTGTGTCAATTTTTATGCACAATGTATGCCAGACTATCACAGTATTTATTTCTTGATTCTTCAACTACTCGCAATGCTGGTGGTGATGTCATGTCAGAACAACTCACGTATTCAAGTGTATTATCTAAATTGACTAATTCTATTCCAGAAGACCGTGTATCATGCTCGTCATCATCATCACCCTCTTCTACACTGAATAGCATAACTTCGTCTGTACTCTCTGCTGTCGGTTTAGTATTCCAACTGACTGGAGGTATTCCATTGACTCAAAGAGAACAAACACTTTTAATGTCTGCGGTATCGAAGTTTTTAGGTGAAAAAGTAGACAGTGCTTCATTAGGCTATCGTCTATCACCGTGGTTTGTTTATCAGTTAGCCAGGCAGGCGAATAGATATGGTCAACATGAATTCGCGTGTAAATTATATGGGAAGTTATCATCTATGGTAAGTCAAATGCGAAAGCATTATTACAGTTTTTTTAAAAAAGTTTCACCGTCGCCAATATCTAAAGTGTGATTAATTATCAGATGTTTGTCTGTAGGGGTTTCATTGAATCGAGGTGTTTGATCACGAGCAGACAGCATTTAGAGATTAGGTTCGAACGCTGGTGGGCGCGTACTGCTGAAAAAGGATAAGAGCAGCTGTCCAGTACTCCCTGGTTTTCCAAATATGATTAACTTCGAAAGTTGGTTGGTATTCACTGAGATTGGTCGATTTGTTCAGGAATTCTTCATTACTAACATCACCATAGTTCATGTGACTACATTAAACAGTGTACTTGTGTGCACTTGATTGATTTTTATGCAGTCTACTTTTCATCACTGTGTGTAGCGTTCGAACCCTAACCTTCTCTCCCGGGCTTATAAATGCCTAGATGAGTTTTATTAGTGCGTCGGCCGGTATTCGAACCCGGAGATTCGGCGTAGTTGGTGAGCATTCTACCATTGAACCACCGATGCATTATCTTACCGACAATTGTATCCAAAAAGCTCGAGCTGCTTTCGCTAACTTACACCATCTCTGGCGTAGGCGTGACATCCGGCTATCAACCAAGGGACGTGTGTACTGCTCAGCAGTTCGCTCCGTCCTTCTCTATGGCTCTGAAACATGGCCAATACGAGTTGAAGACATGAAAAGGTTGACTGTTTTTGATCATAGATGTCTACGATCTCTTTCTCACGTTAGGTGGTATAATAAGGTAAGTAATGTTGACGTTAGGCGTAGAGTGTTGGGCAAAGAGGGAAAATCAATCGAAGAGGCTATAAAGTTACATAGATTGAGATGGCTAGGTCACGTGCTGCGCATGCCTAACCATCGCCTCCCCCGACGGGCATTACTAGCTAGCTGATATAGGTGCAGGTTGGAAAAGAGTAAGTGGTGGCCAAACAAAAACATGGCATCAATCAATCCATGAAATCCTTGACAGTTAAACTGAGTCAGGTAGGGAGATGCAGACTTCCGGGTTGGGGCCCTCGGGACTCTAAGAATCAATGGCTGGAGACAGACAATAGGTGACATGGCTCAAAATCGTTGTCAATGGCTTACGCAGATGTATTCAGTCTCTGTAACCTTCATATTCCTTTCTACCATTACTCATTCTGTTTCACTCTTATATTTGTCAAAACTCTATTGATTCTCTTCACTCATTTTCTTGTCTACCTTTGTGTGCTATTTGGAACGTGGCAACTCGAACTGCTGCACTTTGGTGCCAAGTTCTATGTTGAATCCAGACAGACCGACAATTGTTAGTAGTGATAATATATGTAGCCTCGGAGAAAAGTTTCTTAGACTACATGCTCCCTCCTGACTTATGTAATTTGGGTCGACCATAGAGCTTCAGTATGATTGGTTCATTAACCAATTTTTCTCCTCTGTGGTTCGTTCGATTTTTCGTAAACCTTCCGTAATTTGTTTTATATATAAGTATCGACTTGTTTGACCGAGATTTTATCCGATGGTGGGCAAAATCTTTTACTATGTAGTAGCTCTTTTCTCCCTGTTGACATGAACCGTTTTGTTCGTGACAATGACCTTTCTTTCTTTACTTCCTTATCTACTGGTGTTATGAAGATCGTCTTAGTATTATTCCTTTGAGTTCTGAGTGGAACATAGGGTTTCAACAGTGCATCTCCATTTTATCCTGTTCTCTGAAGTCCTCTTTGACTGTCTCCACGATCGCCCTTAGGCTTTCATCTTTTCCTGACATGATCTCCTCCATGTCACTCGCCGCTTCTCATTCGGGTTCCACTCGAGTTATGGCCTGTCGCGCGATGTCACTCAACGGTTTCCTCAGCGTATGTCCGATCCGATCCATCTCCATTTTCTTCTACATATTTGTCGGACAATAGGTTGTTAGTTGGTGCGTTTCCCTAGTTCCTTGTTACACATTCCAAACCTTTGTTTCTCTTTTTATTTATTAGGTGTTGACACTTCTATCCAGAATAAAAATTGACTGGCGAGCTTATGCTATTGTTCTATTGTTTTTATCTGAGAGTCTTCAGTGAAAACTAGTCACGGGTGCACAAAAATGTAGTTTAGTTCTTTCTGTGTCACTTTTGTACTCCTATTTGACTAGTGCTTGTTCATTCCATCCTCGCTGGGTTTCACAATATGACCAACTCTTATCTTTCAGTTTCTCTGTTCTCCTCTCAGTTTTGACCTTTTTCTCTGATATTTCAAAGGTCAGCGTAGATACAATGATACTATAACATGGAGGTTATTCGTGACAAACTGTAACTTGTTTCAGTCCTGATTTTGTTATTTTATCAACCTTTTCGATAAAGTAAACATTATAGGGACAATAGATCCGGCCAGTATGGTTTGTTGGATCATTACGTTATGCATATCCTACCACTGCATCAAGTTAGTGGTTTTCAGGATTTCATCATGAGCTGACATCGGTTCGAGAACTTTTGGATTGGATCCCAGTGACTGAATGGTCAACAAGCTCGCCTTGTAACCGGAATGTCCTAGGTTCTCACCCCGGTGAGTGCATACTACTGAAGAGCCCCTGACTAGGACGAAACAGCTGTCCAGTACTCTCGGGTTTTCTAATGGTTCTCTAACCAATATAATCCTGTAACTAATCAAATGCCTGCAAACCAACACTTGATCATTAGTAGCTTTAGTTTAATTTGAAACCTTAAACTATTCACATACTTTCTATTTTTTTTTTGCTTTCTATAGACTTTAACAGAGAAATCTTACTTTTGGTTAACCGGTCTATGTGAATTCAGTCAAATGGAATCGAATCTTATCAATCTGGCCAATTGTCTGGAGACAGATGTGAAAAGAACCCTGACACAACATAATCCAGAAATCGGTGCTGTATCATCAGGGAATACAACCTCTTGGATAAGTAAACTGATTATTGGTTTAAGAAATGCTGCTGAAGAATCCTGTAGAATACAAACCACTATTATAGTACGTTTGTGTATACCTTGATTGTTTGTTTTTTTAAAAATTGTTATGAGTATTTGTCTTCAAATGTTTTCATCTTCCTTCCTCTCAGTGTATATCTGTAGAGTCGGTGACTCCAAATTATGCGTTTTATTTACTGTTATTATTGATGTCTGACTGATTAGGTTTCAACGTGGAACTTTGCACAGAAGTGCAACAATTCAAGGGGCCACACTCTGTGTGTGTAGCACACAAAAGTGAAGAAGAGAGAGGGAGAGAGAGAACAAGTAATTCTAAAGATTTATATCAAGTGTGCAGAAGAAAGGATAGAAACATGGGAAAACATGCATGTGAGCCATAGAAAATGATTTTGAGCCATTTTACCAATAGAGTCTCCAGTCATTGATTCTTAGGATCCCGAAGACTCCAACCAGACAGCCTGCACCTCCCTACATTGCTGACTCAAGCCAACCGCCAAAGAATAATTCATGGACTAATACCACCAGGTCTTTGGTGTTTGACCACCCCTGACTCTTTTCCAACCTAATCCTGTCTCATTTAACATTTTTTCTCGACAAGAAAGGCGGTGGCTCGATATGCTCAACACGTATCCTCTCCATCTCAACCTCACCCATTGACTTCCCTTCCTTACCTATCACCATACACTTAACCTGAATATCACTCGCCATGTTAGACCGCTTAACACAGAAGACAGAACGCAGACATCCGGGACCAAAGACAACAGCAAGTCTTTTCATATCTTCCCTCGTTTCAATGTGTTATTGTTGCATTAAGTGGTAATTCAGGGAGAAATGAGGATCTCTGTGGCGGCAGAACGCGAATCAGCGGTCTCCAAATTACTGTTGTATACCCCTCTACCAGCTGAGACACAAAACCGAACTGCTAACTCGCTCATCATCTCACTGCCATCGCCTACAAGCGTATTACCCAGTGGTTTAGTTATTTGAAAAGTCCTATGTGAGTCATATGTGAGAACTATGCATCAGTTAGTTATTCACATCATAACTCTTGAAAGGATACTCGCTTCTCTGATGCGCATGTAGCAGTTTAGGTTCCTTTTCTTTTATATTTTCATTTTCATCATTTTTTCAGGATCACTACTATAAATATGAACCTACTAAGCGATTTAGGGAACGTGCTATTCGCTTCAAACTATCCCCGCCTACTCTCCATTTTGGAAAGACATTTAGAACCACATTTCTGTAGAGATAATGAATATAGCTCTTAGTCAAATACATAAATATGTAGGTTTGGGAGCGTTACTTTGAATTATTGTTTCTATATAGAAGATGTATTTCTTATCAGCGATTGGTCAGTAGACAGTAACCAATATTACGTGTCCAATCCCCTTAGTCTTAATGCTGACTAAATTCTGTCAGTCAGATTTGCATTGGGATAACCGCACTACAAAAACTCACCATTATTATTATTATTTTCTTTAATTCCTAGAGGAACATAGGGCTTCAGCCGTGCGTCTCCATTGCGTCCGGTTCTCTGCTACAATCTTCACCTGGCTCCATGTCTGCCCACACGTCTTCATCTCCTCTTCACATCACCTCCTCCAAGTCACCCTTGCGCTGACGACCAACTCGCCGATTCCCTTTCAAGTTCCACTCGACCAATGGCTTGTCTAGTGATGTCACTTGATGGTTTCCTCAGAGTATGGCCAGCCAATCCATCTCCATTTCTTCCTGCATATTTGTTTCACAATCGGTTCCTGCTGAGTTGGTTCGCTCACTGCCAGAGATCTCTGTTATTGATCTTTTCTGACCATCTGATCTTGAGTATTGAGCGAAGACAACTGTTAATGAAGGTCTGTAGTTTGTTTGAGATGCTCTTTATGACGCGCTGGCCAAGTCTCTGATCCGTCTAGTAAGTAGCACTGACCTCACATTGGAGTTGAAAATTCGGATCTTATTTTTGATGCTGAGTGCTGTTGACCTCCACACAGACTTGAGAGAAATGAAAGCTTGTCTTGCTTTTCCGATTCTTGCTTTGATATCCTCGTCAGTTCCGTCTTCCTATGGTTGAAACGATGCTTCCCATGTGGGTAGGTAAAGGAGGTTTTTTCTTTCAGGTTCCTCCCATTTACTCTGATCGTTGTCTGTTGTTGTTGTTCTTGTCCAGGAATCTTCATCACCTCTGTTTTCTCTATATTTACCTGAAGTCCTGTCTTTGATGCTTCTTCTGCGAACTTGTTGCTTTTCGCTTGCATAACTTCCAGTTTTTGGGAAATCAGACATATATCATCGCGATTGGTACCTATTCCTAAAGCATTTACTTCAGTAGTTATCGCACACCGGGCTGAGTTTGCATCGTATTCAATGTCAGAAGACAACAAACAGCAGACATTCAGAAGTTCAGTTAGATAGTGAGAACCTTAAGACTTCATTTAGAGAAGAACTAATCAGAATGCTGGTGGAACTTAGCAGTTTTAATTGTCCTGGAGATGCTTGACACTGTCTCGAGTTTTTTTTGTAAAAATGGTAGTCAAAAAGCATTTAAAAGGTGGGAGCGGGGTCTAAGGCATCCAAGTCGTTTCTTTATAGTCAACTGAACGAATATCAAACATTCCATCAGGTTGTTTAAGTGCAACGTCTCTGCTCTGCTAATCGAGTCAACACGCCGGCCGGGGATCGAACCCCGGACCATGTGCATGGTCGGCGAGCGTCCTAACCGCTATGCCACCGACGCACCTGTTATTCAGTAGTATCTACAATCTTTGTTCACATATTTTTATTTTTATTCTCTTAACTGTCATTTTAGTGCATTGGAGGTAGTGATGGACGATGGTTTCAAGCAAAATACATTCAGTTAAGAAGTTTATTACTAGCCAACTTATCGAATCTTTGTTCTAATGTATATCGTGCATTGAAAATTGAACGATGGTCTGGTTCAATTTTAATGAATCAGCGTTTTAAAAGTGATCCAATTCAAAATGAAGCTACTGATTGTACCACAAATAGTAGGGAGAGTAGTACATCATCGCAAAGTTTAGTTTGGGTAAGTTATCTTCATTTGGTTGCATATCACTTGCGTTTATTTGACGTCGTCACCTTATTTATTGTTTGTGTGTTTGTTATCATAGAGAAAAGGTCAAAACTTAAACATGATCTCATTTGAAGATACTTGCCTGAATTTTAGTAGTCGGCTGGTGTTTTTTTATTCGGATCTATTGATATCAAAGTTATTAATTACCGATGTTCAGTTATTTCTCAATTCACTCAGGGAAGAAATATAAAAGACGGGATCCTTTCGGAAGGCTTTGTACTACTTCGAATGCAAAGGGTCAAGTCGCAATGCCTCTGCAAAATGCATAACCCTTAACCTCGTCTGACATTAAGAAGTGCTTCAAAAATTCAGTTATCTGAAACATATTGTTTCATGAGTCACACTCGTTATGTGTGACCTAATGACACTGCTTAGTCACTCAGGATGATGTGGGTGAAAACGGATTCGAATCGCGCATCCCATTAGCTGAGAATCAAGTGTTTAAGTTGATGGGTCACATCCCCACTCCAGAAAGACGTTACTAATTACTTTATAAATAATACTGCATGAACACGAACACTATACCATAAATATATTTGTTATAGAAGGATTGAAATTGTTGAATGGACATTTCATATAATTAATTCTAGGTTGACTGAAATACCGTTGACAAAACGTATGTACAGTTAAATGTGATATCGCAGTGGATGAATGTGGCGTATCCTAACTCACTTCTTTATTATGACGTCGTCATTTTAAAGTGTGCCTGGGGGATCCGAGTGAAAATCTCACTTCTGATTCGAAAAAAGTGTTGTGGTGGTGATAAATACTCATTAAATGTTATTCAGGATAACGACCTTCTACCCTACTCTTCTTCTTACTTCACTTTTTTCTCATGGTAATCCTATTATCAAGTGTTGGTTCTCGGGGGATATCAAGTTTTATCACTAAACTGACTTCAGTTGGAGAACCATTGGGAACTATAGAGTACTAGATAGCTGTTTCATCCTTGTTTGGAACTCTTCAGTCTCCATGGTCCCACTGGGGATCGAACCCTTCTAGTCAATAACTACAGTTATTTAATTGAATTTTAAATTTTCCCGTCGATTGATTGGACCACAGTGCTCGGTCCCATGTTGACATGTCGGCTTCATGTGCAGATGCTTCGACGATGTCTGGGCATGTAATTAAAATTTAATTGGTGGATGGTGACTAGCAATGGAATCCAGGATAACGCGCATTTCTTCCTATCTGGGACTCGTCAGCCAGTGGATGTATCTGCATTCCCCAGTGAGTGATGATGATGTTCCCACCGAGGTTCGAACCCAGTGCCCATAGTTTCAAACACCAAAGCGCTATCCATTAAACCATTCCGGCCAGTTAAATAATCAATATAACCCGTTGCGCAAGAGGTGGCTCTCGTGGCCCAAGTGGTGTAGTGGATAACGCTTTGGCGAGTGAAACTCTCTGTCTGTCTGTTTTCGACCTAGAACTTTGCACATATGTGCGGCTGTTCAAGTCGCCACAATCCATGTAGCACACAAAGCAAGAGAAGAAAGTAGAAGAAATGCATATTAGAGACAGTAAACAGAGGTGTGAGACAAAGGAATGGTAATAACGAAGAACAAAACAGTTTAATTGGAAATCATAAATCACAAGGAGTGGATACATCCGCACCAGCCATTGAGAACGATTTTGAGCCATGTCACCAATTGTTTCCAACCATTGGTTTTTACCGCCCCGAGGACCCCAACCAGGAAGCCAGTCTACACCTTCCTAAGTGGCTTAGAGTAGCTGTTGTGGATTTCATTGACTGGTGCCATGTTTTCGTTTGACCACCGCTAGCTCTTTTCCAGCCTGACCCTATATCAGCTAACATTGCCCGTCGAGGAAGGCGATGACTAGGCGTACATAGCACATGTCCTAACCATCTCAGTCGATGTAATTTCACAGTCTCGTTGACTGATTTCCCCTCCTCACCTAGCACTCGACGCCTAAACTCAATATTGCGTTTGAAACTCCGGGCACTGGATTCGTACCCCGGTGGGGGGAACATATTCATCACTCACTGGGGAATGCAGATACATCCACTGGCTGACCAGTCCCAGTTAGGACGAAATGCGCGTTATCCTGGATTCCACTGCTAGTCACCATCCACCAATAACTACAGTTGTCTGACGTTCTAGTGAGAAGTTGTGACCAACAGGGTCCACCAAGTTGAATGTGAGGACAAATACTCGCCGATGATGTTGGCTACGGTCGCGCCATACATCGGGAATCGGCAGAGGTTAGAATTCATGGGTTATTGTACTCCGTATCAGTAGCTCAATGGTACGCTAACTGGTCTTGTAACCTGAAGGTCCTGGGTTCGACCCCTGAGGGTGTTATGCGTGCGCACTACTAAAGAGTCCTAAGAAAGTATGAAACAGCTGTCCAGTACTCCCTGGTTTTCAATGCTTCTTTAACTGAAGTTACTTCGTCGTGATCATACTTGAAATAATCTTATTAACCGATGTCCATAAAAACCGCAGATACATCATTGTAATTATTTTCTACAGATTTACCTCTTCTATAGAGCGAATCGCTATTGTGAAAAAATATTTAGTAAGTAGTATTCAGTCGGATTTGTCAGTCGTAAATACCCTACATTCATGAGTATTTGTATGAATTGGAAACTTTAATACGCATACAAATAACACTGACATAGTGTAACAACAAATAGTTAACACGTTCAACAGGTTTAGGATCGATAGTAAGTCATCAATAAGAACTGAATAGTATTCATCAAAATACACATTAACGCAAGAGTTAGCATGATGAAAATAATCAGCAATTATTTAGAACATCTAGACGAAAGAAAAATTTTTAACTTTACGTACACAAAGCTAATAGTGTAACAGTGACGAGCTTTCAACAGGTGTGAATTCAACTCAAAAAATAATTTTTAACCATCACTTACAATGATTAATACTCAAGTGTGATTCTTGATGTTAAATACTAATCGTATGTTGAATTCAAATACATCAAAAACCTTGCTAAGTCTCTTACATTTCCATGTTACAAAGTCTAAACGTGCATGTCATCTTTATTTATTCTTATCAGGGTAATTTCTTATGTGTTAATGTGTAATTTGGTGAGTATTGTTCAAGAGCTTGGTTTGTAAAGATTAGTTTTGTTTTTCACGAGTTGATCACGGATTGATATCAGTTAGGGAACCATTGAAAACCAGCACCGGAGTACTGGACAACCAGCTGTTTCATCCTAGTTTGGGAATCATCGGCAGTACGTACCCACACCACTGGGGTTCGAACCCAGGATCTTTCGGTTACAAGGCAAGCTCGTATACAATTCAGCCACTGGGACCTGATTCAATGGCCAACCCATGAATTCTAACTTCTACCAATTCGTGATTTTTAGCGCGACCACCAACCAATATCATCGGTGGGACATCCATCCTCACACTTGACTAGATGGACCTCAACAGAACTCCAGGAAACTCCGTCCTGTAGCGAGTGACTAGCGAGCATCAGTGATCAACTCGTAAAAAGAAAATTATTTCTGAGATTTCTGTTCATTGCGTGAACACTTAATCCAGAATAAATATTATTATTATTATTATTATATTTTAATACATAGGTGAAATTCGCCAGCTGAATTCTCATGCAGTATATGATAATTAATGTCACTTCTTTCAGTGGGTATATTCACATATCAACACGGTGACAGAAATAATTATTGGGGTGAATAAATTTCGCTAAAATGTGATAATTATGATACATAAAGGTTATGAGGTGATAAAAAAACACAACAACAACAAATAGTTAAGGCTACCTTAGAGATGGTGAAATAGGCGTAAATTTAACCACTGATAAGGAGATGGAAAGACTTCTAATGGAATAGGAAAATGAAGGGGTATATGGTCATTATAATTTCAAACATTTCGACAACTGAGACAAAACATCCTTCATGACATAAAAAATAAGTAAACTGATAACAACATTTCTCTTATCAACTGGACAATTCTTGAGAAGAAGTGAAGGTGGATGACTGTTTCATCATTGTTTGAAATTACCCAGTCATCAGTCATCACCACGGAATATTCGACCAAGAATATTTAGTGTCATCTACAAATAATGATAATAATAACATCTTTAATCTGGACAGTATTTATAAGATTTACAGAAAATTTCAGAGGAATTTCTTTCATGATATCTTTCCTTCGTGCCATATCTTCAAGTAAAATATTAAATGACAGTATTTCTTTTGACACAATGGTCTCTGAGCTGATCGGTCGGTCGGTCGGTTTTCGACATAGAACTTTGCACATATGTGCGCCAGTTCAAGTCGCCACACTCCCTCCTTGTAGCACACAAATCAAGAGAAGAAAGTAGAAGAAATGCATAATATAGACAGTAAACAGAGGTGTGAGACAAAGGAATAGTAATAACGAAGAACAAAACAGTTTCATTGGAAATCATAAGTCACAAGGAGTGGATGCATCTGCGCCATCACTGAGAACGATTTTGAGTCATGTCACCAATTGTTTCCAACCATTGGTTTTTACCGTCCCGAGGACCCCAACCAGGAAGCCAGTCTACACCTTCCTACATGGCTTAGACTAACTGTTGTGGATTTCATTGACTGGTGCCATGTTTTGGTTTGACCACCGCTAGCTCTTTTCCAGTCTGACCCTATATCAGCTAACACTGACCATCGAGCAAGGCGATGACTAGGCATACGTAACACATGTCCTAACCATCTCAGTCGACGTAATTTCACAGTCTCGTCGATTGATTTCCCCTCCTTACCTAGCACTCGACCGATGCCTAACCTCAATATTGCTCACCTTATTATGCCACTTCACTTGGGAGATAGAACTCAGACACCTGTGATCGAAGACAGCTAATCTTTTCGTGTCTTCTGCTCTCAGTGGCCAGGTCTCACAGCCATAAAGGAGGACGGAGCGGACTGTTGAGCAGTACACACACCCTTTGGTCGATAGTCGGATATCACGTCTACGCCAGAGACGGCGTAAACTGGCATATGCGAACCTAGCCTCTGTATCCGTGCTGAGATTTCGTCGGACATCAACCCGTTGGAGCTGAGCTGAAGCAAAAACCATTCCATTATGATATGTTTGCTTTGTTTCCTTCCATGATATCTAGTTGGAAGCCACTTGTGAGATGTTCAGAAGTACATTTTGAGACCCAAGGACACAACTGAGGAGCAGCTATCTCATGTATTGGGACACGTTGCTAACCACAACCAGGCCATTCCTCAAGTTTAGTAGGAACTTGCGAATCAGAAGCTTGTAAACATTTTAAATACACACACAAGAGTAGATAATACCATAAGTAGAGGTCATACCTTAATCGATTGAAACAAACCGAAGGAGTGAAAATATATGCAATTGGGAGATGGAAGTATTTGGTAGCCCAAGTTTTAAGCAGGCCGCCAATCTATACTACTCTTGTCTACATTTGTCTCTTGTTTTAAGTTTATCATGCTGGGGAAAAAATCTCTTCAGACGTTTATCAAAAGTTTAGCAATCATAATATCACTTAGTTCGTAGGTGGTTCAATGGTAGAATGCTCGCTAACCACGAACGTGGTTCGGTGTTCGACCCGCGGTCGACGCACTCCCAAACCTTCCTTGGCCGGTAGTAAACCAGGTAAAGAGGGAAGGTTGGGTGTTAGGTTAACAACCTCGTCGTCCCGTAGTAAAAAAAAACAAACAAACACCACCCTTACTGAAACTTGAAAGCTCAGACGTAAAGCTCTATTTTTCACTCGGAACGCAAAGCAATAAAAAAAAGCAATATCCCTTATTCATGTATAATCCCCATCCAGGCATTAATGAAAACAAAACACGTAGATCAGCGAAGAGTCTCTTTTCGGCGAATTCATTTTCTTAGCTGTACAATCGCAAGTATATATGTGTTATTTTGTATGTATGTGTACATTAAGTTTATCAAACAAAAATACAATTGGTTATAGTTATTTTAACGAAACAGGTGAAGATTGGTAATTGGTAATTTTTTTATTTTGATGACTTAATTTTGTTTCTTTGCCTGTTTCTTTAATTGCTTATAATTCTTGTATTCATTTAGAACTCTTACGTAATTTCGTATTATCTACTTTGTTCCTATGTGCATCCTGAGTAAAACTCACTCATCAAACTATTCATATTATTACATAACTTCTTTTAACAACTGTTTGTGACAATTCATCACCTTTGTTACTACCCTAATTTCACTAACACCTAATTTTCTTGACTGATTTTGTATTACGTAACATCATTTCTATCATGACATTTGGTAAAGATTGTCATAAAAAGTTAACTGATTCGTTAGTCATTATACTAGAGGGATAAGAAGAAGAGATCTCTTCTCGGTGATTTCATCCTCAAAAGTTATACAATCGCATTTTTTCTAAAACAAGTTAATATAGGTACAATTGTTATAATTTAATTTAACATAGTCACGAAGGGATTTAAAAGGAGGTAATAATTTTCAGCCTGATATGACAGTGTGGAGATGTGATGAAAGATGAATAGAGATTACAAGGATCATAGAAACAAAATAACACATAGAATTAGAAAAATAGTTGCGTGATGTGTAGTTTTTTTAACTAAGACAGGTGTGAACAGGATGTGCCTAGAAACAAATTTATAGCTAACAATGAGGAAAACTGTGGGGAATGCTGATAAACGGTAACTGAGGAGCTAAACAGAAGCAGATCCATGGTAAATGTGTAGATGTTGGAGTAGTTTCTTTTGAACACATAGTTCCGGCTTTGGTAGATTTGGCAGATTTCTGCTCATTTTGCAAGTGAATCTGAATGATGAGTCAGTTGAGGTGTTGATGAGGTGTTCGATCATAGCACTTTTCGCTGAACCAATGCTACCTCTTTACAGCCATGCAGTGTAGTGTTTTGTAACACGTTTTGTTTTTAAAGGATACGCATGGAACGACCTGTTTACCTAGTGAGACATGTGCACATTAGAGTGATCTTATGCGGGAATATATCTTTCAAATTGCGTAGATGCATCAGACCCCTTGGGATCTATATTCACACCTTCAAACTTTCTTATCAGATAGAAATGATCTCCTTTAATCTCCCTTCGTTACTGTTGTTGAACTCGACAATAATTATAACTATGTGAACTTATGTATGAAAATGCGATTGTACAGCTTTTGGGGATAAAATTGTCGAAAAGTATCTTTTCTGAGCTAATTGAGCGTTTGAATAAGCTACGATATTCCCTCAAAATATTTTCTTTTAAACATGAGTGCTACTCATAAGTAGTTTGTCGTAATCCGCATAAGTTTTTCAGGTTGATACGTCACAGTGTTTGTGCAATCTGCTGCACACATATGTATTCATTGAATGTTATACTACGGTATGCTATATGGCGTGTGGCGAAATTTGAGATTATGATATGGTATTTATTTAGACGAATTATACCGTTTTTATCTGTGCAAAATTGCATTATTGACAGTCACTTGTGGGGTGTATAAGGGACGGTTGCATCTATTGAAGTCACAAAATTCGTAAGTGTACTTTCAAATGAATATCCTTTACGGGGAAGATAGTGAAAAATGGAAGATGAAGGAAGTGAAGTTAACTAATTGAAGTCTACATTATTTTGGACTGCACTGGTGGTCACGTCCTCACTGCAGTTGATTGTCGACTTTAAGAGCATAAGTCTTCGTCTGCCCTCCTCAGTCAGTTGATAATAGTACTTATTCTACAGCTAAGATTAAATTGTTTTGATTTTATTTTTCGGATATATAGTTCTAGTTATTATGGAGCAGTTGTTAAGGTTTCTTTATTGTTGACATTCTGGCAATATGGATTAACTTCTGACGCATATCTAATCCTGAGTGCTGTCTGAATTCCATAAATCTACTTTGCAATGTGGTCAACAAGCCTTCTGTCAGTTGCTTCCAGCCACCTAACAACATGTCATAAAAGTTAGAAATGTCTTGAAGGAATTTCAGTGCTGAATCCGATTTATTCATCATATAATGCTCCACTTTCATTCTTTCTTTATTTTTCTAGCTGTCAAGTTGTATAGACGAGTGGAATGATCTGTCAAATGAAATCTCTAAACTTCGTGCCCAATGCCTAGATGCTGATGTGGAGACCCACTGGCATTTAGAAGCGTATCCTTTCTCTAAGAAAATATTTTTTTTGGAATTTAGTTGGGTTATCTTCTTTTTTAAAACTTTTATAATGAGGTTAATTATACATCTCATCCAACAGCTGTACGACAATGCTGCATGCCAAGTAATCCACAACGGGAAACTTACGGAATCCTTCGAAGTGAGGACAGGAGTAAGACAAGCTGGCTGGCTGCCGACTATCGCCAATGATTTTCCTGATTGCAGTAGATTGGATAATGCGACAAACAGCGGGTAATGAGGAAACAGGCATAAAATGGACACACACAAAACACTTGGAGAGTCTGGACTTCGCCGATGATATATGTCTGATTTCCCACAAACTGGAAGATATGCAAGTGAAAAGCAACAAGTTGGAAGAAGAAGCATCAAAGATAGGCCTACAGTTCAGGTGAACATAGAGAGAACAGAAGTGATAAAGATTCATGGGCAACAACAACAACAGACAACGATCAGCATAAATGGAAGGAACCTGAAAGAAACAACCTCGTTTACCTACCTGGAAAGCATCGTTTCAAATACAGGCGGAACTGACGAGGATGTTAAAGCAAAAAAAGCTTTCATTTCTCTCAAGTCTGTTTGGAGGTCGGCAGCACTCAACATCAAAAATAAGACCTGGATTTTCAACTCTAATGTGAGGTCAGTGCTACTTTACGGATCAGAGACTTGCACTGCGCGTCATAAAAAGAATCTCAAACAAACTACAGACATTCATTAACAGTTGTCTTCTCTCAATACTTAAGATCAGATGGCCGGCCAGAAAAGATCAGCAACAGAGATCTCTGGCGATGAACGAACCAAGCAGGAACCAACTGTGAAACAAATAGGCAGGAAGAAATGGAGATGGATTGTCCATGCTCTGAGGAAACCATCAAGTGACATCACACGACAGGCCATATCTCAAGTGGAACTCGAAAGGGAAGCGGCGAGTTTGTCGTCCAAGGGTGACTTGGAGGAGGTCATGTGAAAAGGAGATGAAAGCATATGGGCAGATGTGGAGCCAGGTGAAAACATTGGCAGAGAACCGAACGCAATGGAGACGCACGGCTGAAGCCCTATGTTCCTCTAGAAATTAAAGGAAATAATAATATAATAATAATTCTTTTCGTAAACTAGTTGGTTGATGTATTTGTAAATTGCTTTGTTTTCGTATATGTATATATTTACACTCATAAAGGATAGATATTCGTCAGAAGAATACGTCAGAAATTGACCCTTGATTATCCGTGGTTGAGTCATGTGCTAAGAAACAAACTCTATCTAAGTTTCTGAATAGTACTGTTGTATGTTTTATCTACATTTTCTCTGATGCATACAGTCTACTGCATATTTTATTTTGCACTCAGACAACCTTTTGCTGATCTCTCTGTTGTTAGTACTGGGTTACACCAAACAGATTTTTCATGTACAGGGCTATGAGCTACACTTATTGTGCAAGTGTTGATGACACCGTCCAGTAGTTGCCACTGGTGTGAATTGAATACGGCTAGATTCGGACCTGAGACTCTAACTGAAAATCAGGTGCATGAAGTCAGTTAACCTCATCTACCTATCTGGAATCATTTTATAAACTTTTTTTTAAAAAAATTAACATTCTAGAATGAGTATTATTCATCTTAAACTACTCAAGACATATATGTGTGCTTAGATTAATTGATTTGTGGGGATTTTGATCAATAATTTAATTTCATTTGGTAGATTTTGTCTCATAACAATCAATCTCCAGCTCATTGATGGCCAATGGGTGAGATTTCTTACAGCTGTCATGACCAGTGGAGTCCGCTGTGTCAAGGTGAAGTGAATAACCGATCGAAGGCATTAGTTGAGGGTGGTTCTATATCATTGATTTATGACCCAAGTGACTGAATAGTGGTGATCGAGCCTGGTCTTGTAACCTTTAAGTCCTACGTTGGATTTTCTCTTGTAGTTGTGGGTGCGCAATGATGAGGAGTCCTAAAACAGAACGAAACAGCTGTACTATCCAGTGCTCCCTGGCTTTAAATGATCTCTCTAACTGATGTTGGTTCGTGACGAAATCTAACAACATATGGGGATGGTTATTCTGCTGAATGCGGCAGATTTATGAGAAGTAATTAGAACCATCAACTTTTCTATTGATGGATCAACCTGCATGTATTTATTTATTTATTTTGATTTACAGCTTGATTCCACACCGTATTTTCAGTACAAGTGTGGAATTTTCAGCATGGATATCGGTAGCCCAAATTCAGGCCGACCATAGATATCGGGTGTGCGCCGGCAGGGGATCGAACCCCGGGCCATGTGCATGGTCGACGAGAGTCCTAACCAATGTGCCACCGACGCATTCATTTCAAGGAAAAGTTGTGTGTTTGGATAGGACACTAGTAACTAGTGTGATGTGTCTAGTCCTCTCTTTGGTGCACACTGAATTCTATCAGTCAAGCCACCATTCTAGGTAGCTCTCCATCACGGTGAACATTGATTTGGTGATATTAGATGGCCGGAGGTAATGGGCCACAGAAAGCCATGCTCGACCTACGTTTCGTGCTAGTTGTCACTCACCAGTCAGCAAGGCGTATCTGCAACCTCGAAGGAACTGATGTCCCTTCTTAGATTCGAACCCGCGTCACCCAGTGCTGCAGTCAGAGACACTACAGTCCTACAGGAGGTCAATCGCGAGCCCGAATAGCTCAGTGGTAACGTCTCTGACTGCAGCACTGGGTGACGTGGGTTCGAATCTCAGAAGGGACATCAGTTCCTTCAAGGTTGCAGATACGCCTTGCTGACTGGTGAGTGACAACTAGCACGAAACTTAGGTCCAAGGCTTCCTGCCGATTACCTCCAACCATCCAATATCATCAAAGTTGTGTATTACTCACATTAGTGAATTCGTTGAGGGGAAGTAGAGTATTCTAATAACCAAGGGGTGATACTCTTTCTTGTTGAATCCCTATAAGTATGACATATGTGAATCTATCGCTTTCTATCGTCTTAACATTATAGTAATCTGTCGCTATAAATCGTCAAGGAGTTGAAGTCAGTGACAATTCTGAAGCCATTTTCTTTATTTTTTTCTATTTTATACGGTAACGTAAATTTTGCTGTGAGTTTCTTAAGTGGGACCGGTACGTTTATTTCTAGATTTCATATTAGCTCCTTTGTTCTTCACAATCTTTTCATTTATGTCTGACTGTTTGGTTCAGGCAGATGACTTTCAGCCATGCTTTGAGTCACTGGCTCGAGTTCCACTCCACCTACTTCAGCCTGGGCAACTCAGTAATATCACCAGGTCTCAATCAGTTTGTGTCTGGCTCATAGCTTGGTGTGTGAGAAATCTGTTCGGGGTAGTTGCTTTATAATAGCAATAATTAACCATGCATAATCGATTAGTAGTGTGAGTCGGGGGTTCAAGAGTGGCATACCTCTTCTAGCTGGGTTTGATTCCCAGCCGACACACTCCTAAACGTCGCTTAGCCGGTAGTAAGCCTGCAGAAAAAAGGAAGGTTGGGCGTGAGGCTAGCACACACACTCCACTACTACTGAGACTTTAATGCCTCAAGCTTGGAGCCCTATGTTCCATCTGGAACTCGAAGGAGGGAAAAGAACTAACCTTCAATAAATTTTCTCATTATAACAGTGTCACTGAAGACTACTCATTTACCTCATCTAACTAAATGAGGTATTTTCGTTGGACCATTATTGGGAATCAAATTTACTCAATGCCCTACTTCCTTAATTATTATTTTTATTGACAATAATAACAGGATAACACAGGTGGTTGAATTTTTCATCGAGATACTCAGCCTAATTAATGGGTCGAGTTATCCTTCAGGGTGAGTTATTTTCATTTTTCTGTCTTTTCATGTGATATTTTATCTTGTAACGTGAAGTGTCCATTTTCTATGAATTTTGTTAAACTTATTTTCATGCTCTTAGGTAGATGTCACTGATAGACATCATCTTTTAGTGAAACATTATACAGCTGTTTCATCCTGCCTCGGGACACTTCAGCAGTACCCATTCATGTTACTATGACTCATGTTAATTGAACTCATTGAAAATATTAGGAAACACTCTCTGTATAGTATTGCCTTCTCTAACCTGAAAGATATAATATCATAAAGCTTTCATTGTCTTTCTAGGCGACATCGACAACATCATTCAATCTAGAAAAGAAAGGGGTCTCTACGACTCCTCAACATATGTTTTAATTGGGTGTGGGGTGATGATCAGGAGAGTTTTGTGTGCTTTTGGGTGTAGGTGTGAGGTTTTCACTTCTTGGGGCACCTGAAACACAAAGAGCATTAGTGTTGTGTAACTTGAGAGCCCATGGAACAACTTCGCGAAGCCGGTCACAGACGACCTTTTTGAATTGTTTTTTTGGTATTGCGTCTGTATTAAGATCCTACCACCTCAAGGTTAATCGGGATGTACAAGCTTAGGGGTCAGTCTTCTCTTATCTCCCCTCTCCAGAGAGGAGAGGCAGCATAGCTGACATACTGGTCATCTGAGGGGAAAACCTAACTGCTGTTACATCCCTATTCCCCAGAAGTACGACTTCGTCCACAGACCCCTAACGTCATGTAAACAAGTAACATTGTGACGGTAACTGCTTTTAGTCTAACCGCTCTCCAAACAACGTTTCTGGCATGGTAGGACCTGCAGGAAAATTACTTCCAACCAGTATAGCTTATTGGGTCACTGAGGTATGCACTCCTGATCACCAAGTCAAGGTGGCAGCTGTCGGTCGGGAATCGCCTGTGTTACCATGATGAAATATGTAACTAGTTATTCCACTGTCTGCAAACCTATTCACCAGACTGTTTTTCTTATCTATTAGATTGCAGCTAAATGTTTCGTGATTCTTATAGGCTGATAAACTGAATCCATCACATGCCTACACCTTCATTTCAAAGTATTACGAAATAAAGTCTAGACAGTTCTTTTTAACAAAAACTGATTAATAAAATTGGAAAGCTAATAAAAATCTGTTTCAGAATGAGAGCATTTACTGTGTAAGATGAAGTTAAGAATAATCTTAACTGCCACTCATGATAAAATGTCAAGCTGAGATAACTAACCTCAAGTCGGCATACACCTTTGTATCTGTGAATAAGTCTCCTACTGTGTCTACACCAGATCATATCAAAGTATATGGTGTAGTGAAATCCGAAATAAAGTAATAAGAAAATCATTTCTTTTCATATGTCATAGGAAGCTATAAGACTAAAACGGACAATGAACTGCGTCATTACTATTTCTTCATTCTTTCCGTCTCCAGAGTGTGAAGCACAGCGCTTCAGAGTAACGACGATGGTGTTTTCTTCACCGGATGGGATCGTTAGCTTACTGTCGGCTAGCCAACTAGGCGGGGTTTAGGAGTGCCTCGGTCGAGAATCAAATCAGAAATGTCTGTGTGACTAGCAGACCTTCTACTGTTGAGCGACTGTTAAAAAGGGAGTAAGGCATGACGTGAACTGGACATGTCAGATAGCATTGTTAACCATTGATTTCGGGGTTTTCTTTTCACTGCATCTTTTTGTCCCAGTGAATCACTCTTAAGACCCTTTCGAAGGAGAGAGGTGATGGGAGGGGACGAACTAAATTTCTTTAGCACAACGATTTTATATAAACTGTTCTTTTAAGTATCACATTCTTCCCTCCTTTATTGTTAATCATTTGTTAAAGTATAGTGTTTGAAGGAAATTTCTCTACAGTCATTGGAAAAATTCGATAGGAGGGTAACATTCTGTGTTAAATAGTAAGTAATGTGAAATCCTACTCGTTGCATAATAGCCTGATAGATGACTGTTTGGTGTCTGAAACAATGAGTGCCTTGTCGTAGTGGGAACACCAATGCTCCCTAGGATGCAACTACATTCAATTGGAACATCCCTAATAGATAGGAATACATGTTCTGGATTCTGCTGAAAGCTATCATCAAAGAGCTTTAAGAATAACATTTATTGAAGAACCATAGTATGGAATTTATACTGGAGAGATTAAAACGACATATTTCAAGAGATCTGAAGTGTTTTGTTGGTTGGGTCCGTCGTGAGTGTTTCTGCTGTAGTCCTGTACTATATATATATATATATATATATATATCCTATGTAAACTAAGCTACAGGTGTTGTCTTTTTGTTTGATACTCATGAAGAAAATATATTTTAAAAGAAATGAAATATTGAGTAGTATCACCAGCCCCAGCCCCTTCAGTATCTGTATGTGGTGTGAACCTGTTTTGGTCATCGGGAACCATAGGAACGTAGCTCCCGCTACTGTTACATTACCTTGGGGATTTGACTGCAGGTCAAAGACTCGATGGCTGGCCCTCTAAGGGCAACCACCTGCTTCGGTCTGGAAGTCCGGGCAGTATGCTAGCCTTCCCTGCTACTGCAAATGATATAGTCCTTCTAGGCGACGACGCTGACAAAATGCAGTCTTCTGAACACCTTGAGCTGCAATCTACGAATGTTTGGCATGCGATTCGTTCCCGCCAAATGCAAGATGATGTTACAGGATTGGACTACACCGACTCCTAGATTAGAAATAGGAAGTGAAGTGGTTGAGCACGTTGACCGCTTCACTTACTTTGGAAGTACCATCAGCCCCAACGGGTTGACCTCTGACGAAATCTCAGCACGGATATAGAGGGCTAGTTTCGCATATGCCAGTTTACGCCGTCTCTGGCTTAGTAGACGTGATATCCAACTATCGACCAAAAGGCGTGTGTACTGCTCAACAGTCCGCTCCGTCCTCCTTTATGGCTGTGAGACCTGGCCATTGAGAGTAGAAGACATGAAAAGATTAGCTGTCTTTCATCATAGGTGTCTGCGTTCTATCTCCCGTGTGAAGTGGTATAATAAGGTGAGCAATATTGAGGTTAGGCGTCGAGTGCTAGGTAAGGAGGGGAAATCAGTCGACGAGACTGTGAAATTACATCAACTGAGATGGTTAGGACATGTGTTACGTATGCCTAGTCATCGTCTTCCTCGACGACGGGCAATGTTAGCTGATATAGGGCCAGGCTGGAAAAGAGCTAGCGGCGGTCAAACGAAAACATGGCACCAGTCAATGAAATCTACAACAGTTAGTCTAAGCCACGTAGGAAGATGTAAACTTCCTGACTGGTTGGGGTCCTCGGGACGGTAAAAACCAATGGTTGGAAACAATTGGTGACATGGCTCAAAATTGTTCTCAATGGCTGGCGCAGATGCATCCACTCCTTGTGACTTACGATTTCCAATGAAACTGTTTTGTTCTTCGTTATTACTATTCCTTTGTCTGACACCTCTGTTTACTGTCTCTAATATGCATTTTTCCTACTTTCTTTTGTTTCGTGTGCTACATGGAGTGTGGCGAGTTGAACTGCCGCAAATATGTGCAAAGTTCTATGTCGAAAACAGACAGACACACTTCACACAATCTATGTGATTTTTCATGGCGCCTATAATGAACCAATTCGACTTTTTAATAATACTATAATACCAACCATTAGACAATAGGCGTGACGCCTTTTTTAATTCCTTTGCGTTCTGAGTGGAACATAAGGCCTTCATGCTGGAGTCTTGAAGTTTCAGTAGCGGTGGGGTGGCTAGCTTCACGCCCAACCCTCTCTCTCTTTACTGAATGTAACCTCGACTTCGTACGTAGTTGGATAGCATTCTACAATCGAACCACTGGCAGATTAAGAAATACATATCCACGTGAATAGTTCTTGATTATTGCTTTGTTTCATCCCAGTCGCACATCACGCTTAGTTTAGTTCAAATTTTACGGGGAATTCACTATCTATATTGTTATCCTTTAATACTGAACTAGTTATTGTCACGATAAGCCGTGTCAAATCTCACAAAGGGGAGAAATCGTTACACACCTTAACAAACTATATCACAATCCATTCAGTCGACATAGTTTCGACTGAAGATACTATAAAATTGAAGCATCCAAAATGAAAGCATTACAATTTTTAGTTTAAGTTTTCATCATCAATTTATACGCTTTTAAAGTTGAAAAGAGGGGGGAGGGGTAAGACAGAAAACAGAAAAAACTGATTAACAGAACAGTGTTAGCTTGTAGGTTTGCATAGCAACTCCAAAAAAAACCAAAAGCGGTTACAGTTTATGAGATTAAGATTTGTTCAGTGAATTGAGATCACTGAATTAGATGCCTAATTATTGTAATCAAAATTCAGTTACCAAGGGAGTGAGAGGTTAATCACACTCTCTTTCTGTATGCATAAGTCTGGTTTAAGTCGTTTGATTGCGATCGCTTCGGCAAATCGTAGTAAATTTGCTGTCCTTTGTCTATTTAATATTTTGAAGGACTTAAAATCTCTACAAGATGTCCGGTATCAACAATATGTCTGGTAATTGCACTCTGGGAATATTTCCTTCCTTTCAGGCACAGGTTTCTTGGAATAAGTTCATAAACGCAGTTGGAGGTGACATCAGCAGGGTATTTATCCAGTTTTGAGTGGCTTATAGAAGGAGTGGTGCTGTACACTGTTATGAGTTTTGCTGCCAGGAAGCTTCTATTTATTGCACCTTTCAGTCTTTTGTCAATCTTTTGTGACACTGCATCTCCTTTGAATGGGAGACAAATAAACACTTTTTTCTTTTCTACACTTGGATTCTTTTCTTTCTTATCTTTTTCTCTGCTATACTTCTGTATAAATCCCTTAGGGTATCCATTTTCCCTTAGGCATTTCTCGACGAAATCTAATTCTTCTTCGACCTTGTTTGGTGAACATAGTTTCCTGGCTCTGTCGTACAAAGTCCTCACTAATCCACGTTTATAGCTTATGGGACAAAAGCTGTTATAGTGAAGATATTGTCCAGTCCAGGTTTCTTTTCTATAGATGGACTTTTCGATCATGCCTTCGTTTGTTGTTTTTACATTTAGATCCAGGAAATTGAACTCATTTTTATGTTCATATTCCATGGTGAATTTGATATTTGGATGTAATTGTAAATTCAGGTAGTCTGCAGCTGATGAGAACCTGTCAAATAGAATGATATCATTTAATACTGCAAATTTCGTCTTCCTTTCTTTATCGAAATATATCACAGTCAATTTAGTCTATTTAGTTACTGCTCTCTTACTGCTTTTGTGTTCATTTTAGATTCTCTAGCATAGAAGAATATTTATCCTCTGGATTAGAGACAAACTCAAGTCATACATATACATCAGATCCATATGGTAAAATTGTCTCTATCCTAAGGAAGTCAATGAGACAATATTTTCCCATTGGCAATACACCAGTTATACGTGAATGGATACCAGTATTAATTTTCAAAGTTGTTCAAGTTGCTACTCATTGGCCAAGATTCTTTTTCCAACGTTTACAGACAACAACTGTTCGACTTGTACTCTTGCCGAAAGCTGGAAGTAATCCAGACGATGTATTGACTATCAGTAATGATGTATGCCATATGATTCAAGTGATGGGTGTTGTACAACAACGTAGTCGACTAGATAAGAAAGCCTTATTACGTCGTATAAAAGCTGTTGAAATAGCTGTGAATGTAAATGAAATTTGTCCAGAGAGTATGAGAAATGGTCAGCACACTAAACTCGGTTTGATATACTCAACACAAAAAGCTGCTCAACTGAAAGGTGATTATTTTCATAGTGAATTTTGTATACGATTTCCTCAGTCTACTCAAGTGATGCATAGTAATAGTGCAGGGGGATTGCGTCAGAATGATAGAATCTTTTGTATACATGCTCATCCTATTCTAATCGATAGTTTAGGCTCACATTGGGATTTAAGTGCTAACGCTGGTGCTACAGATGAAAGTGTACTTGTTCGAGTTGAATCACTACCATTGGCGACTACACAGCCTATGCAAGCAGCATTGAATCTGTCTACGCCTCAAAATCAATCAGATTTTCAAGATCATAGCGAAGTTTCTCAGTCAGTTAATTCTGGTCCTACGACCTCATCAACATCAGCAGCAGCAGCAGCTCCATCAACACCAACAGCAGCGACAAATACGTCGTCGTCGCATAGTATCAGTCAAAAAGTGGATCTAACCAAATCGAAAATAGCTTCACGAACACCTGATGGTTGGAAAAGTCAAACAAAGAATCGGCCAAAGAAAACTGGAAGCTTAAAATCTTCATCATACAACTTAAAGTGATCATGTGCCTCTATGAAGCTGAGAATTTCTTCCTATCGTGTAAATACGTTTCTTTTTTATGATAACTGTAAAATAAAATTTCGAAGAAATTGGAATGAGTTCTAAATTTTCAAAAGAATTGACATGGAACAAAGAGTACTCTTTTCGATAAATTCATCATCAGGTTCTACAATTATATATACATTATAATGAATGAATGAATGAATCAGTGTTATGAACAACATTAATGTCTAAATAACATCAAATCAATAATATTGATAAATTACAGCTGAACAGCATCAACATAAAATAAGCTGAATGTCAGAAGAATTAGGAAAGGTAATAGTGTAAATTCATGAGTTTATAGTCTCTACTGAGGGTCAGGGCAGTAGTAGGGGCTGGACTTGTTTCTTTTGAACACAGAACACTGGTTGTTTGAGGCGAATCTAATAGCCTCTGTTGTTTGGAACATGTGGTGCTTCGACGATTTTGGTAGTTTGTTAGGCACCCGGTATATTATAGAGAAGGATTCTTCTACGCTGGCTTTGCGACCGGTTTGCATCAGATGGTCTAATATCGAGCTGTTAATAGTTTTAACTACACCTTTACTTAGCCATAGTGGGATATGTTCTCGAATGAGCACGAAAAATCAAGTTCATAGAGCAACGGCCAACATAACTTGCTCCACAAGTGCAGTTGAATTGATAAATACAATTTGAAGTGGTTAGGTAGTCTAGGTACTTCATCTTTCAGCCGAGGTAGCACCATCGGTCGTGTAGGGAATAATACGTGTAGTTCGCCATCATTAAAAGTTCTTTGAACTGATTTTCTTAATTTCTTCTTAATTAACTCGCTTGGTGTATCACCCATTAATTGTAGTCGTATATAAAGTGTCTTCTTGTTTACAGATAGTGGGTAGTCCTTTTCGGCTTTCTTTGTCATGTGTTTCTTGATAAATTTGTCAGGATTAAAGTATCATATACTATGCTTAATTCATCTTTAATTACTTCTTCAGAGCATATAGCTCTAACTCTGTGGCTAAGGGTCTTCACTAAATTTATCTGTTTACAGTGTTGTTGTTACATAATAAGATGCACCAGACAACAGGAAGCCTTACTTGCTTTAAGTTTTGCGCTTGTCGGTATTCCTCAGTAGGGCGTATACATTGTTGTTAGATAGTTGGAGGCAGGGAGCCTCAAACTCTGGTTTCGCGCTTATTGCCACTTGTCAGAAAGGCGTATCTGAAAACTTCAAGGAACTCATGTGCCCTCTGAGATTCGAATCTGGATCACCCAGTGCTTCAGTCAGGTATATTACCAGTAAGCTATTCGTGCTCACGACCTACCTCCTATACTACTGTAATGGATACTTTGGTTAGACATTAGGTAGTAGTAACTAATGTCATGCATCTGGTCCTTCGTTTAGTGCAGACTAAATTCTATCAGTCAAATTGTGTCCGCGCTGCTGGGTGGCTCGAGTGCTCTCTGAATTAATTGTAAGCTGTTTGGAGTCAATCACCAGGAATTCCTACTGGGTTACAAATACGTCTTGCTGACGAGTACCAACAATTACGAAACCTAGGAGCAAGACTTTCGGAGGATTGCCTTCAACCATCTATCAACAGTTCAGAGTGCACCGTCATGGCGAGCAACCTAGCGTTTTGGTCACATCGCAGACATAATTGATATATAATTCAGTCTGCGGCAAACGAACGACTAGATGCATGACTGTTTATTGTCCGATCAAACGTAATGAATGTAGGTTAAACCGTTATTTAAGGTATTCCGCTCAACTTCATACTTCGTGTCCTCTCTAATGAATCCATAGTATGTTTCCAAATATTTCAGTCCTTTAGATAGACGTATATTGAAAATAGGAGGTATATTTAGCAGTAAGTAACCAGCCCCTTAAACATCAAGAGCAAGTACTAATTAGATGTTTACTATCTGAACACAGTTTCACTTTCAAGTACACCTAGGGGATACTTATGTCAAGTCGATCCTTCTATACGGGTTAGAAACTTGGCGTGTCAAGAAAAGGATTTCCAACAGGTTGCAGACTTTCATCAACAGCTGCTCGCTTCGCTGGCTCCATACTGAATATCAAATGTCCAGAAAGAGTTATTAACAAAAAACTGTGGGAACAAACCAACCAAGAGACGATTACTCATCAAATATGTAGGGGAAAATGGAGATGGATCGGGCATACATTGTGGAGACCGTCGAATGACATCGCGCGACACACCATTGCTCGAGTGGAATCCGAATGGGAAGCAACGAGTGGGTCGTACTAGGGTGACATGGAGGAGATCGTTTGAGGAAGAGATTTGAGAGTTTGGGCAATAGTGCACCCAGCTGAAGAGGACGGCACAAACTAGATGAAAGTGGAGATGTGTTGTTGAAGTCGTATGTTCCACTCGGAACCCAAGGGAACATCAATAATAGGGGGCGAGTCTCTTGACCACATCGTAAAATCTTACAAGTGTTAAAGATACCCATTTATTTTTTCATATTCTCCAATGCCTACGCATTTTGGTTGCCTAGAGTTATTTCACGCTTACCTTGTCTCCCAGGATCTGATCCGCATCATTCAGTTCTGATATTAAGGATGTCACTAATTAGCTACTCACATCTTTACTAATCCCCTATAGAATTAAGTCGTATACATGTGAATTCAACTTCAGTCAGATTGTAGTTGTCTTTTCCTAAACGTGTTGATTGAAACAAAAGCATTCCGTTATGCTATGTTGGCACTAGGTTGGATTACACAATAATGAAGTTCACTTTTATTATGGTTCATAATTCCATTAAAGTTTGCATCCCACTTTTGATGTTGACTGTCGCCTCAACGCAGTAGGTGAGCTTGTTTACGTCAATGACCTAACGAGCCATGCTGGCTGGAATGAAATTTCTGAAAATCCTACCATGCCCCAAAGATCGTTTTATATAGATGTCAGACTAGAAAAGTTACCACTATAGCATAAGAAATTTATACTATGCTGGAGGTCTGAAGACGAAGTTGTACTCCTGGCGAATAGGGGTATAACAACAATCAGATGTTTCCCTTGGACGATCAGCACGACAGCTAGTTCCCTTCCTGCTCGGGAGAGAAGCGATTAGTAAAGATCAGTCTCGAAAACTGTACATTCATGCTTAATATGCGACGATCTGTAGCCAACTATACGAGCACAAAAAAGTCGCGTGTGACCGGTCTCCAGCAGTTGTTCTCTAGGATCTCGGGTCACAGAACACTTCAAGAATATAGTCAAACTTAATTTTGTGAGCAGTCGGCAAATAGCAACCACCCCCTATACTACTGACTATTGAATAGCCTATGTATGATGTCCTTTGTTCATCTTGCTTAGTTAATCAATTAAGCTGTGTATACGATACAACTTCCGCTTGAATGTAAAAGTTTAAGAGGTTAAATTTATTATTATTGTTCCCTTGGGTTCCCAGTGGAACATAGGGTTTCAACTGCACGCCTCCACTTGCTTCTGTCTTCTGCTGTACTTTTCACCTACATCCATGTTAATCCATACTGTTTCAGTTCCTCTTCACATGATATCCTCCATGTCACCCTTGCACTGACGTCCCACTCGCCGCTTCCCTTTCAGCTTCCACTCGAGCTATGGCCTGACGCGCGATGTCACCCAACGGCCTCCTCACCGAGTGTTCAATCCATCTCCACTTTCTCCTGCATATTTGTTGAGCGATTGGTTCTTGTTTTGTTTGTTCCCATAGTTTCTTGTTTGTGATTCTTTCCGGCCATCTGATCTTCATCATAGAGCAAAGACAGTTAGTTGTTGATAAAGGTCTGCAACAGGCTGTTGGAAATATTCGTTGTGATCCGCCAAGTTTCTGATCCGTATAGAAGAACTGACTGACTTGACGTTTGTATTGAAAATCGGAATTTTGTTGTTGATGTTGAGGAGTGACGAAGATTTCCAGATTGGTTTCAGGTTGATGAATGTGTTTCTCGCCTTCCCGATTCTCAATTTGACATCCTCGTCCGTTCCTCCTGTAGTTGAGACAATGCTCCCTAGATAAGTGAATGAAGTGACCTCTTTCAAATCCCTCCCATTGATGGTGATTGGCGCTGGGTGTTGCTACTGTTGTTGTTGTTGGTTAAGAGGTTAAATATTTACCACAAATAAACTTTTAAGAATACACTTTAGTGGGACACATTTTAATAGTAGTAATCTCAAATGTGGCTTGTTATCGTCATTTCTGAAGGTATTGATGTAGAAAAAACTAATGTGAAGGTGAGAGTGCAAATGGTTGTGCAACTATTGAACTGAATAAAACCACAGCTGTTTTAAAAATCAACTACATTTTTCCACTATTGGGTTTAAGTCAATTTTGATTTTCCCGTTGACTGATTGGACTGAAATGTTCAAGCTCTATCGACTTGTCAACTCCTAGTACAGACGCCTCGACGAAGTCCGGAGATTAAAATGAAATCGGTGGATGGTGACTAGCAGTGGAATCCAGTGCCTTCGTACTAGAGGCCGAACATTATGGCCCATTCAATCAGCGGGAGAATCAAAATTGACGTAAAACAAATATTAACTTATGCCGGTTGTACACGCAAGAGGCGAATTCTGTGGACAACGCTTTGGCGTTTGAAATGTGAAGGATACTAAGTTCGAGTCTCAGTGGGGACACCGCTACTCACCAGGGGTTGCAGATACACCTGGCTGATAAGTTCCGATTGGGAAGTCTGGATTCCACTGCTGGGCACCATCCATCAGTCGCAGGCTGAACCTGATAATATCTCTGACGACTAGAATCCAAAGAATCTCCAACCATGAAGAGATCACTCTTCTGAGGAAGACACTACTTGAGAATGGTTATCCACCACGCTTTATAGGTAATCACATTAAGCCTGAAACCAACAAAGCACACCCCATCTCTTTACCGAAGAAGATGCTATACATGAGTGTGGCGTTCAAAGGCGACATTTGGCCGACATCCTATAGAAGAGAATATCTAACGCCCTGAAAAGAACATTCTCTGCTGCTACATCACGACTGGTATTCTCATGCCACCCACTATTCTTCAACAACTCCGAAGATAAACTATCGCGTTTGACCACTTCTATG